ATATATATATATATATATATATATATATATACACACACGCAGCGTGTGTGTTTGTGCCTTAGGGTGCACACCCTTATACAATAGGCTGCGCACACCTATGCTCATAGAGATGCACTGATTCAAGGAGTTGCTGATTGGCCCCCAGGGCTGTGTTTGGCTTGTGCTGGATCTACCCCCCAATATGCCTCCTTGGCAATCTCAGTCAGTCCAATGTGAAAGCATTGTGATTGGCTCAGATCATCACTTCTGATGATATCAGCCAAGCAGGCAGAGCCAGCATCTGCAGAATGGAGTAAAGGTAAGATTTTACTATATTTAGGGGGGCTAAGTGGGCTAGATGGCGTTTTTAACAGGTTTGTGTTCCTGACCCTATAGTGTTCCTTTAATGGTGATTTTATTTCTTCCTCCAAAATAGATTACAGAATTCTCACATAGTAACGGAATACATCTTACTAAAAAGAATATATATTTTTTAATTGTAGTTTAGATTTAACTTTGTTTAACTGTCACTGGATGTTCCACCTTTATTTAGATTTGCCAAGAATTGCAAATAAACATTTTGTAGAAAATGTTCTTCGTGATTTTTATCTGTTTCTGTTTACATCACACAAATCCAACGTATCACTGAAAATTGGGCATCGTTCTGTGTTTTATTTTAGTTTAATAGATTTTTTTTAAAGGATACAGCCAAATCAACTGTAAATTTCAAGAAGAAAGACAGACTTTAAACACACGTGGGAAAACCAGGGTAAAAGATGCATGAGGCATATCAAAGTCATAAGATGTCTGGGGGCAAGTTATTTATCTGAGGCCCTCTCAACCTAGTAAATATTTTTATTTTTTTGGTTATAACAAACAGATGTATAACAAAAAATTCAAGTGTAGTCTGGTAATTTTTAATGTAATTGATTCTTGCCTGGCAGGACAGGGTCAAGGATTTTTAGCCTCCTTCTCCCACCCCTGGCAGAAATCCAATTTGCTGCCATTTTGATCATCCTACATCTCTATTCAGTCTTTTTCTAACTTATTTTCTCCCTTAAATTCTCCTGCCCGTCTCTTTCTTTCTTCGTTCTCTATTTTTCATTCAGTTTTTCTATCCTTCATGTGCTACATTTGCATCTGTTTGCAATTTTCTCAGGAAAACATAGTGATTGTTAAAATTTCTGTCTGTACCTCCATCAGAGGCCTTAGGCTTGGGGGCAAATCCAGTAAAGTGGCCCATTGCACCAAGAGGAGAGTAAAAACACCTTTCCCATGTATTTGAAAGGGGGGGACAGTCACCTAAACAGACACACTCACTGACTGGCACACACACACACAGGCATACTTGCACACACAGAGAGACATACACACACACAAACTTTACACTTTTAAAGCCAGTAGACAGGTGCTGAGTAAGGGGACAGGGCTGTAGTAGGTGCTAGGGGGGTACAGGGCCGGTGCAAGGATTCTTGCTGCAACAATCCATTTTGCTGCCCCCTCATGAATGCAACTACATTCCCTCAGATGTTTATTCACTAAACTCTGAATTACAGTGAAGAGACGCACTGAGTAGGCATTAAAGGGAGACTATAGTGCCAGGAAAACAAACTTGTTATCCGGGCACTATAGCTTCCCCCTCTGTCAAGCGCACCCCCCTCATGGTGCAGAAGGAATTAAAACCCCTTCTATCACTTATCTGGGTCCAGCACCAATGTCTTTCGTGCTGGCTTGGGTCCGCCTTCGCATATTAATTACCGCGCTCGCAGTGGTATTTCCATGACACTAGGTTTTGCGTGACGCTGGACGTCTCCATGCATAGCCACTAGAGGAGTTAATGTTAACCCAGAAATGTTTTTATTTTAGTTTCTTAAAAATTGCAATAATTACCTTTGCAGTGTCACTTTCTCACTAATACACACACTCTCCCACTGGCATACACACTTACACATTCTAACTAACTTACACACTAACACATACACATTCTCTCACTCAGTGGCGTACATACCAGGGTCGGGCAGGCAGGCGGGCGCGCGAGGGAGCACTCAGTGCTTCCTCTTCAGCTCCCTCGCGCACCGCACTGATACCGGAGCCGGAAGATGACGTCATCTTCCGGCGCCGGCATCCCTACGCGGCACGCGGGGGGGGCTGAAGAGGAAGCACTGAGTGCTCCCTCGCGCGCCCGCCTGCCTGCCCGACCGGCCACCCGCCCAGGAGCCCAGCAGCACCACTGGACCCCAGGGAATCCCCCCAGCACTCCAAAAGGTAAGGAGGCTGGGGGGATTACATTTAAAAAAAAACATGTGTTAGTGTATTTGTGTGTGTGATTGTTAGTGTGTGTGTTAGTGTGTGTTAGTGTGTGTGTGTGTTAGTGTGTGTGTGAGTGTGTGTGTGTGTGTTAGTGTTACAGTGTGTGGGTGTTAGTGTGTCTGTTACTGAGTGTGTCTGATGTCTGTTAGTGAGTGTATGTTTGTCAGTGAAAGTGTATGTTTTGTAAGTGAGTGTATGTATGTCTGTCGCTGAGTGTGTCTCTGTCAGTAAATGTGTGTGTCTGTTAGCTAGTGTGTATGCGTCTGTTCATGAGAGTGTGTGTCTTTACCTTTCTCCAGCGCCGGACTTCCTTGGCGCTGGGTATCCCTCCGCCTTTTAGCTCCGAATGCACATGTGCGGCAAGAGGCGCACACGCGCATTTAAGCCGCCCATAGGAAAGCATTACTTAATGCTTTCCTATGCACATTGAGTGTCTTCTCACTGTGATTTTCACAGTGAGAATCGCGGAATCTCTGCTAGCGGCTGTCAATGAGACAGCCACCAGAGGCTGGATTAACCCTCAGTAAAACATAGCCGTTTCTCTGAAACAGCTATGTTTTCAGCTGCAGGGTTAAAACTAGAGGGACCTGGCACCCAGACCACTTCATTGAGCTGATGTGATCTGGGTGTCTGTAGTGGTCCTTTAGGTGTGTGGGCAGCATACCGGGGTCGCAACCCTGCGACCAGGTGCCCGCCGCCATGTGTTGCGGCGCCGAATAAGCGCGCGGGGGGCCCATGGATCAATTTTTGCACCGGGGCCCCATGGGTCATGTGTACGCCACTGCTCTCACTGACATACCCAGTGTCACCTACACACTCTCACCAACATACACATTGTCAGTTACATACTCTTACTAACACCACACACAGTGTCACTTGCACACTCTCATTAACACACACACTGTCAGTCAAACACAAACTCACACCACTCTACATATAGTCATACTTTATTTACACACACAAACACAGTAATTTAACACACACACCAATTTACAAACATTCATACTATAAACAATCCCCCATGCCATACCTGAGTGCTGTAAAGAGAAGTCCAGCCTGCGGGTAGCTGCTCTGCTCCTGGTGGGGGGAGCAGGGCAGCCATGCACTGTGAGTACAGACTGCTTCCTGTTCCCCTTAGAGAGCTTCCGGTGTTCACAGGCAGGGGGCAGCCAAGATCCTGGCTGCCCCCTGCCTGCAGGAAGCAGAGTGCTCTGCTCGGTGCTGGGGATACAGCACATTCAGCTCCCCAACAGGTAATTTACAGCAGCTGAATGGCTGCGCTGGGGGGTGGCTAAGGAACCGCTCGCCCAGCACAGCATCCCCAGACAGCAGCAGGGCAGCGCACGCTAAGGAACCGCTCGCCCAGCACAGCATCCCCAGACAGCAGCAGGGCAGCCCACGCTAAGGAACCGGTCGCCCAGCACAGCATCCCCAGATAGCAGCAGGGCAGCCCACGCTAAGGAACTGCTCGCCCAGCACAGCATCCCCAGACAGCAGCAGGGCAGCCCACGCTAAGGAACCGCTCGCCCAGCACAGCATCCCCAGACAGCAGCAGGCGAATGCCTTATTCGCCTTAATGGTAGCGCCAGCCCTGGGGGGGTAGGAGCTGAATTGGGGGGTTAGGAAATGTAGTGGGGGGATAGGGGCTGAAGTAGGTTGATGTCTACAATTTGGGGCTGTGGTGTGGGTGAAATGGGTTGCAATAGGGGAGAGGAGCTGTAGTGGGGATGTTATGGGGATGTGGTGGGGGCATGGGGGCTGAGGAAGGGGACAGGAGCTGAGAGGGGGGGTAGAGGAGCTGAGAGGAGGGGCAGGGGCTGAGTAAGGAGGACAGGGGCTGAGAAAGGGGGACAGGTGCTGAGGAAGGGGTAGAGGAGCTGAGAGAAGGGGCAGGGGCTGAGTAAGGAGGACAGGGGCTGAGGAAGGGGGACAACGCTGAGGAAAGGGACAGGGGCTGAGGAGGGGGACAGGGGCTGAGGAAGGAGGACAGGGGCTGAGGAAGGGGACAAGGCTTAGCTGAGGAGGGACAGGGGCTGAGGAGGAGGACAGGGGCTGAGGAAGGAGGACATGGGCTGAGAGAGGGGACAGGGCTGAGGAAGGGGGACATGGCTGAGGAAGGGGACATGGGCTGAGGAAGAGGGACAGGGGCTGAGGAGGACAGGGGCTGAGGAAGGAGGACACGGGCTGAGGAAGGGGGACAGGGGCTGAGGAAGGAGGAAACGGGCTGAGGAAGGAGGACACGGGCTGAGAAAGGAGGACACGGGCTGAGAAAGGAGGACACGGGCTGAGGAAGGGGGACAGGGGCTGAGGAAGGGGACAGGGGCTGAGGAAGGGGGACAAGGGCTGTGGAGGGGGATAAAAAATAAACAAAAAACAAAAGTGTATTCCCCCCTCTTCCTGAGTGTTACCTTAGGCCAGGAAGGGGTGGGCAGGAACCAGGAGCAGGAGCCATAAGCAGAAGCCAGCAGCCAAAACACCATAAAACCTGTACATGGGGGGTACTGTTATTCTCGGGAGACTTCACTAAACACAAATATTAGTGTTTTAAAACAGTAAAACGGGGGGGCGGAGCTACCGGCGTTAAGGAGCAGACGCCATTTCACCCAGCTCCTCGCTCATCGCCTGGAAAATCACTTATAACTGGCGCACCGCCACACACCCAGAGCCGAAATAGCGACCCTTATACTGGGGTCTGCATACCGGACCGGTGGATGCCTTTTTTGTGCCCGTCGGGTACGGAAATCCGGCACAAGGGGCCTCGGGCCTACCGGGCGGGATTCCCGCGGCAGCCAAGTATCACCCCCTGGGACGAAGACTACTGGGACACAGACCCACAAGCAGCCGGCGTACCCTGGGGCACACTAGATCCACCGATGGGCCGCAAATCCCAAAAACCGGCTCTTGCCACGGCCGCCTCAAACCACGACATCGGCCAGATGCTGGCCTCGACGCCCCGCACGCGGGAGCCATCATCCCCTCGGAGGGAGACTACAACTGAGCCAATGGAGGAGAAGGCACCTGAAAAGGGAGCTCAGGCTATGCCTGAAAGTGAACCACCTGTTACAAAAAGGGACATACACGATCTCCTGGCACATTTCCAGGACATGTTCTTTGCAGAACTCAACCTGATTAAACCAGAGATGCAAGCAATAACAGAACGACTTCGAGTATCCGAGGAGGACTCTGCTGACATCAAACAAAATATGGCCACCCAAGGGGAAGCTATAAAGCAGCTACAAACCTCCCACTCACAAATAGCAGCCAGAATGGATGCTATGGAAGATAAAAGCAGACAAAACAACATCAAGATAAGAGGAGTGGAGGATACCGTACCAGCAGAAGAACTACCTCACCTCATCAGACGACTCACCGCAGCCATCCTCCCAACTAAGCATGCTACACAGTTCACCAATTCTTACAAGCCCTAGGCCTGCCTACGCCAGACCTGATGACACTACCCCAAAGAACCTGGGACATTGACAACATACCTCCTTTCATTCCCGGAGGGGAATGGGACACTCTCACCTAAATGAGACCTAGACTGTATAAGGTTTATGTCTATGCATTGAGAATTGCCCCCATAGGCAATACAGTTTAAAGTTTTCTTGTTTTTATATTTTGGCATTTTTAAACTCTATTTGTCTGCAACATGTAATGACCGCTTCCACATAGCTATTTCCACTGACACACGGCCTCAGAGGCCCACCCACTTCTTTCAGCCACACACTTACCCCTATGGGACCGTCTGACACCGAGGCGCCACCCCCCCCAAACTGCCCTGAGACTTGAGGGAACTAAGATGCCCACATCACACCTGGGCCAGAACCCCATAAGCTACTCTAGCAAGTAGACCACCAAAACTCTAGAAGGAACGTGACTAAGGAGCCACAATCCAAATCCTCCAATCCCATTAGACTCAGCTACATGTGTCAATTGGAAAACAACATAGGTACCTCACGACGGGACAGCTCATCCTACAAGGGTTGGTCTATAACTATATTGGGCACTACGCTTCATGTTCCCCACATGCCTCTGTTTATAGCTTACAGATTTAAACTTGTAAAATTAGAATCCATGTACACACTGCTGGACTTCTACCTTCACTACATATAAAAATGTGCTGTCTAATCTGCCATGTTATAATTCACTACGGACGTATTGACATTGCACCCGCTGTTGTGGCGTTACAAAAACCTGTCACTCTATGCACAAGTAAAATGCAGACTTGGGGAAAAAAGGAAGCCCCCACTAGGCTCCTATTGAGCCACATCGTTTTAATATGCTTCAAGCTGTTTTGTTTCCCGTAGGGGTGCCTTACTTATCTTTGCCACATAACTTGACCTCACAGAGACATCTACAACTTGCATTTAATAATAATTTTACTAGCATATTCTCTTAGCCTGCAATATAGTAACCTGGTACCCCAGATTCAGACATCCTTATCTAAGCTAGTGGGCCATATTTGTTATGAAACCGATTCACTTAAGCTTGCACACCACTTATTTTCTTAACTTCTCATGCAATATTGAAAGCATGTTACTAACTATCTCGACGTGTTCATAAGAGAACATCCCTTTACCTAAGCAGTTAAAATGCCTACAACTTAGACACACCAGCTTGAAATAACACTCAACTGTCATATACCTTGTCTGTCATTGTTTGCATGCCACTTTCACTTTTAATTTTAATTCAAAATTGTGCACAGAACTTATTATGCCATGTTACCACTTGTTGATATACGGTCTTGCATTGCTATTGTGGCGTGACAGACCCGACTGTTTATTCATGCATGAATAAAAATAAAGAATTTAAAAAAAATAAATAAAAAAAACAGTAAAACATATTACAACAATAATATAGTCCATAAAAGTACTGTTCGTTTGTAAAAAATGCAAAAAACGTCACTTTTACTTAAAATATCGTTGTAATACAATTTACCAGTTTTAAACATTAATATTTGAGTTCAGCAAAGTCTCCCGAGTAAAATAGTGCCCCCTATGTACTGGTTTTATGGTGTCTTGGAGAGTTACAGGGTCAAATATAGTGCTTGCAAATTAAATTCTCTGCACTTTTTCCCTGTGTTGTCAGGCATGTCAATCAAATTTTAATTAATCAAATCACATAATTATGTTAAAAGATTACTTAAATATACACGTAGAATTTTAATACATATGTATTTATAGGTATTTAAATTCTACGTGTATACTAATGTAATCTTTTATGTAATTATATGTATATCTATTTATATATTTGCGGTTATTTGTATTTTATATATATATATATATATATATATATATATGTATATATATATATATATATATATATAGAATGTCATTCTAAGTATATTTTGTTACCAATATATAATATATACATATGTATATATAATTTATATTAAATTTTGTTTCAATATTTTATTTATTTATTTTATTATTTTATTTATTTATTATTGTAATTATACGTAAATATATATAATATATGTGTATATATCTATTATATATGTAATATATATACATATTATATATATGTAACGTCATACAAAGTGTATTTTAATATTAATATATGTACTACTATTAGTATTAAAATACACTATGTATGACGTTATATATATAAAAATACATTTAATTTATTTTAATTTTTTTTACTAATTCCCACCAGTCCCCCTGTGGGCAGATCCACAGCCAGCTATGGGGGGCCATGCGATCGCTCTTTGAGAGCGATCACATGGCCCCCGGGGGCCTCACTTTCCGGAGGAGGGCTGCCTGGGCAGTCAGACAGCCCTCCAGAAGAGGATCGTTGCGGAGGTAAGTACGCCGGACCTCCTCTGGGCTTAAGCCGTTACGGCATTCTATGCCGCCGCAACGGCTTTAAAGGGGTTAAGGACATGAACAAGTATTCCTAACACTGTAGTGTTCTCCTTTTTTTTTTTTTAAGTTTTTTAAAAAAAGTAAAAAAAGTTTAAAAAGATAAGATTTACTTACCTTATATCCTATGATTTCCATGCCTCCTCAGCTGAGATTATTAATCTTTATGATCCCAGCCAATCCAAATTTGCCCCAAAGGGAAGCATTGGAGACTACTGCATATTCGTTTTCCTGTTACACACAAGAAAACTAGGGACTACATTTTCTAATGTAGAGCATAATCGTTGGAAATCTTCATTGAATTGGTTATAGTGCCTGGAGTTCTCTGGTATTGTGCCTCCCTTGAGTGTTAAACCATATTTGAGCAGTTGAGCAGTTGAAAACTAATTAACTTCCTACTGGAAATATGGAAGAGAGTTCACAATTCCTTTCAGCCGTACAGATTCATACTAGCAGTAAGTGCTGTGATAGGCTGAAAACAGTCCGCTGATACTCTCAGCCAATCACAGCCGCCCAAGGGCTGCTCATTCTAATGCTTCCTGATTACCCCAAGCAGCACAGAGGGGATGGATTGCTGGGGACTCTTAGAAACATAGAATGTGACGGCAGATAAGAACCATTCGGCCCATCTAGTCTGCCCAATTTTCTAAATACTTTCATTAGTCCCTAGCCTTATCTTATAGTTAGGATAGCCTTATGCCTATCCCATGCATGCTTAAACTCCTTTACTGTGTTAACCTCTACCACTTCAGCTGGAAGGCTATTCCATGCATCCACTACCCTCTCAGTAAAGTAATACTTCCTGATATTATTTTAAACCTTTGTCCCTCTAATTTAAGACTATGTCCTCTTGTTGTGGTAGTTTTTCTTCTTTTAAATATAGTCTCCTCCTTTACTGTGTTGATTCCCTTTATATATTTAAATGTTTCTATCATATCCCCCCTGTCTCGTCTTTCCTCCAAGCTATACATGTTAAGATCCTTTTAACCTTTCCTGGTAAGTTTTATCCCGCAATCCATGAACCAGTTTAGTAGCCCTTCTCTGAACCCTCTCTAAGGTATCAATATCCTTCTGAAGATACGGTCTCCAGTACTGTGTACAATACTCCAAGTGAGGTCTCACCAGTGTTCTGTACAATGGCATGAGCACTTCCCTCTTTCTACTGCTAATACCTCTCCCTATACAACCAAGCATTCTGTTAGCATTTCCTGCTGCTCTATTACATTGGCTGCCTACCTTTAAGTCATCAGAAACACTCACCCCTAAATCCCTTTCCTCAGATGTTGAGGATATGACTCTATCAAATATTCTGTACTCTGCCCTTGGGTTTTTACGTCCAAGATGCATTATCTTGCAGTTATCCACATTAAATGTCAGTTGCCACAACTCTGACCATTTTTCTAGTTTACCTAAATCATTTGCCATTTGGCTTATCCCTCCTGGAACATCAACCCTGTTACATATCTTAGTATCATCAACAAAAAGACATACCTTACCATCAAGACCTTCTGCAATATCACTAATAAAAATATTAAAGAGAATGGGTCCAAGTACAGATCCCTGAGGTACCCCACTGGTGACAAGTCCAAGCTTCGAATATATTCCATTAATTACAACCCTCTGTTGCCTGTCACTCAGCCACTGCCTTACCCATTCAACAATATTGGAATCCAAACTCAAAGATTGCAGTTTATTGATAAGCCTTCTATGTGCAACAGTGTCAAAAGCCTTACTAAAATCTAGGTAAGCAATGTCTACTGCACCACCCTGATCTATAATTTTAGTTACCCAATTAAAAAAATCAATAAGATTAGTTTGGCATGATCTCCCTGAAGTAAACCCATGTTGTCTCTGATCTTGAAATCCATGTGTTTTTAGATGTTCAACAATCCTATCCTTTAACATGGTTTCCATCACTTTCCCCACTACTGAAGTAAGGCTTACTGGCCTATAGTTGCCCGACTCCTCCCTATTACCTTTCTTGTAAATGGGCACAACATTCGCTAACTTCCAATCTTCTGGGACTACCCCTGTTAACAATGATTGGTTAAATAAATCTGTTAATGGTTTTGCTAGTACACCACTAAGCTCTTTTAATAGCTTTGGGTGTATTCCATCAGGTCCCAGTGACTTATTTGTCTTTACTTTTGACAGTTGAAATAGAACCTCTTCCTCTGTAAACTCACGTGTAATAAATGACTCATTTATCCTTTTCTCAACTGAGGTCCCTTTCCTTCATTTTCTTCTGTAAATATTCATTGAGGCAGTCAGCCTGACCTTTATCCTCTTCTACATACCTTCCTTCTTTTGTTTTTAATCTAACTAATCCTTGTTTTACTTTTCTTTTCTCATTTATGTATCTAAATCTAAACACTAAATCTAGTATGTTCTCTTTACGAGTTGGCTCCTCAACAACTTGTTTTAGAGACAATCCCAGTAGGGAGTTTAGAATATGTGTGCTCCTGGCACAAGTAGCTAATTTTGTTTTCCAATTTACATCAGGAAGATTAAAGTCACCCATGATGATAACTTCCCCCTTCATTGTCATTTTAGCTATTTCCTCAACT